TTTCCTTTATTAAGTTTGATGTATAACAAGTATAAATTAATAAATACGTGGGATACATTAACTATACTATATGGAAGTTGGAGGTTAAAGCTAAGTTTACTTCCGATCTAAGCTTTACTAAGAAAGGTCACAGACCTCTTTAGGTTATGTTTACACACTCAATAGGGATGTGTTGTGAGCTATAAAGTTATTTGCCCATAATGAGAATCTGTATTGGATTTGATCATTTTGTATATCCTGATGTGTAGGTTTTGTTGGTATAATCAGATTGGATGATGGTATCGTCTTATTGTAATTCTTTGTCAGCTCCGCTCTGCTTGGTATCCATACTTTTTTATGTATCTCTTTTATGATTTTGTGATGTAGTGTTGGAGTGAGCTTGATACTTGTATTGAGACTAGGAGCGGGTAGCAAAGTTTCTTCTGTTATAAATCCAAGAGAAAGAGGATCTTTGTTTGTAAAATGGGTAGTAATAAAGTTGTTAATAAAGGAGGTTATATTGGTTTGTGGTAGATTGTGTTTGTAGAGAATTTTTTTTAAAATTTTTCCAATTGTTAGTTTAATTTGGAAATTGTTGCTGAGGCAGGATAGCCAGTGTGTATTATCATCCCATTCTTGACCGCATCTTGTACATAGTGGATTTGCATGTTTATTTGAGTTTCTATAAAACAGGTTAAGCAGGATAGGTAATTTTTGTGTTAGTAATTTTATTCTAAATGACTTTAGTTGTGACTGGGCTGGGTTCATTTTTCTTGCAAGTGGAGCACTTTTATATGGTATTTGCTTGTACATTAGTTCCCAATTAATTTTGTTTTGTCGTGTATTCCATTTGCTTATTCTTGGTTGACAATACCACCTAGCCAGGTTGCTTGCGTTGATTAAGTGCCGGACCAGACGTCGTGGAGTATGAGCTATCATATAGTTTTTAAATTGGAGTATGTGTATATTATTCATAAAGCCCTGAATATTTAGTTCCGTTGTTTGTGGCGGCATGGTATGATCAATAGAAGGAGCAGCTATTTCGGCATTATATTTCATATCGATATAAATGTTTTTAATTGCAATGATGGCTTTAGTAGCTAGTAGTAGAGTCCAGAGGTTGTGCATATGAATTTATTGAATATGGTGTATTGGAGTGCTGATTAGCATTTCTATAGTTCTTTTAAGTGATGTGTTGTTTGTAGTAACTTCGGGATGTCTTCCACTTGATAAGGCAGTACATAGGCTCACTATTGTAGTAATTGCTACTTTAAGTGAAGATGGCCATGTTTGATTTGTTATATAAAGACTAGTTGGAGTTTCTTTAATATTCTATATTGCCATGGGTTTAGGGATATTGTTACAAAGTGTACTCATAACAAAAATTGTTGCATGAATCCTTTCATTTTTGTTGTTGTGTTGATATATGTTCCATAGTTGGTCCTGTATTTGCAAAAATTGTTGAGCAAGTTTCAGAGTAGGGAGGTGTCTAGTTGCTATAGAGTTGTATTGAGTGGGTGTAGGGGGCCGTTGTTTTCTCTTTCTTTGAAGGGCTATTGTGATATCTAAAATTTTTGCATGAACTATATGGGGGATGCCAGTAGAAACCAAGCAATTTGTTTTTAGTGAGTTTTTTTAAAATTTTAAATTAAAATATCTCAACAACTATTAAACTAAACTTGATAACATTTTTTTATTTTAATTTTATAACTATATAAAATTAAAATAAAAAAATTTTTATCACATTTGGTTTAGTAGTTGTTGAGATATTTTAGTTCAAAGTTTAAAAAAAATTTACTTAAAAACAAATTGCTTGGTTTCTATTGGCACCCCCCATATGTCGATGGTCAACTTAAATATTGACCAAACTATCAATATCTATCTTTATATAACATGAATTTTTTCTTTTTGGGTCTGATTTTTGATGGCATTCTCTGCATTTAGTGAGTGTATTGGTAGTAAAGTTGTATTGCCAATGGTTTATCTTGTTTGTCTTGTTAATATCTGCGTTTGTTTTTTCAAAGATGTTATGTGTTGTTACTATCCATCTAGATTTGGTATAGTCAAATTTAGATATTGTGAATGGATTAGGTTTGTATAGATTGAGCACGAGGTGTTTGATCTCTGTAATAATTGTTTGTATTTAGCTAAACCACTTTGGTACTCTTTTTCTTAGGATTTTCTGAATGTGATAGTGGAACTCTCTCTATATTAGGAACGCACTATTATTGTAGTTAAGGAATTGTTCTATATACCCAATATTATGTCTATTAAGCTTTGTTTTAATCTGATTGCATCCTTTTAGCTGTTGTATTATTCTGTTAATTGCTGTTTCTGATTGTTTTTGTGGTAGTGGCCAGAGGCTGTATTTATTTGCCAGTTGTAGCTGTATTTTGTGTAGACTTAAGATAGTTTAGGCAGTTGTTAAGTTATGTTCTTAGAATGCAAATATTGGCTATTCCATCAGAATCAATACATTGGAGAATGCATTATTCTGCAATTGCTACAGTCTTATTTTAAGTAGGGAATTATGAAAGTTTGGGTGATTAATTGTTTTGATAAAGTTTGTAATGTGCTGAAGTAGTTAGATGTCTATTGTACTTTTTAGTCTGTATATCCGGTGGTTATAGATAAGAGAATTTGGTATAGATCTAGCAAGACCAGCTTTATATTTAACTAGAACAGTATATTTGTTTGTTATTTTGTTGCAAACTGTAATTGGCAAATAAGTGTTTTGTATATGATATGCGAATCTAGTTAAAAAGATAGTATTAATTATATATATTGTTTGGGATAAGGAGCTGTAGTAGTGGCTGTTAGTGTATATTCTAGATGTTCCTTAGTTACTCTATAAATCAATGGGTTATAATATATTCGCCACAGAATTGGTGCTATTGTTTCACTCTGATCAATATCATCTTGCACTTTGTATATGTTATAGTCCATTATTATCTGATTTTTTCAGTTACTGAAGATATAATTAATTAAGCTAGTAGTAGATTTGGGGCATTTTATTTGTAATAAGGCTTTTTGTAGTAATGGCAGATGGACTGAGTCATACACTTTTGACATATTTTGGGACAATATCCAAAATTTCTTTTGATTAGTATATGCATCTTCAAGAATATGTGTTAGATATTGAATTGGCAGAGCTGTGAATGTGTAAGGTACAGCTATGTAGTTAGAAGGTGCTAAAATAGGTATTTAAGAATAATAGAGGTTAGATATTGTGTAATTATTTTTGTAAATAGTTTTCAGACATGCTTGATCAGTATAACAGGCTTGGTTTGGTTTAACTATTCTGTAAAGTGAGGTTTTTTTAATATAGGATACACTAGACTATGTTTCCAGGCTTTCAAGATTTTTGATAAGTTGATGCAGGCATTAAATATATTTAATAAAATCTTTAGGGTGGGTTTAGGCACATGTTTGATCATCTTATTGGAAATGCCTTGTGGGCCTGTTGCTTTACTATTTGGGGAAGTTGATATAATTTGTCTTAATTCAACCATTGTGATTGGTTGAATAATTTCTTGTTATTTAATAGATATCTGTGGATTATTCTATAGAATATCTTGTATCTACAGATATTCATTAAATAACTAGATTATTTCATAGATACGATATAACAATCCTGTGTGACTATGTAATCAAATAAACTTCCCTTATAAATAAAGTAGACTTTTTTTATTAGTAAGCAATTTTGGATTGATTGACTTCTAACCTTATCGATCTTTTTTTTTTTCTAGCAAAAAAAAATGGGCAAAAGGAACTACACCAATGCACCTACTGATGAAGAAGTGCTTGAATTGTAACAAATCTCTTGTGTGGAGAATACCGACAAGTGCACTTTAAAGTGGCTGCGTGCAGTCAACAGATTCTGAGTAACTATCAAGTATGACAAAGGTATTGAAAAAATTGAAATAGCAATGGAATTAGAAGACTTTCTTTGCAAGTTCTTTACTTAGTTGAAATGTTTGGATGGCAAAGACTACAAAGTAGAGAGTATATACAATTGCTATGCTTCTATAGCTTGATATTTGAAAGAAAACAGTGAAATTAAGCCATGTAAGTTGTGAGATTCTTATCATTTTGGAAAAGTGTTGAGAACACTTGATGGTAAAATGAAGAAACTTCAGAATGCAGATTTGGAAGAAATGGATCAGGCATCTGTATTAAGTGCTGAAGAGTTTGTTTAAATCCTTAACTATAATAAAATGAAAACTGATATTAACGAAGGTTTGGTGAGATGAGTATTTTTTACTGTCACTTCTTTGTGGTTTTCACGGTGGTGATGCCAAAAGAATAAAGTTTAAGGACATATCACACCGTGACGATGATGGACTTTATCTGATGTTTAATCATGAGAAGAATAATCAACATGGGGCATTAAAGTGCAATAAACATGGAAAAAGCGCTGCACAAAAGATTCCTATTATGCCTAATAATGCCAATAATCGTTTTAATCCTATATAAGACATATTGATATTATTGCGTCCTGTAGGTGTTTATACATCACTTTTTTTAGAAGTTACACAAGCATCAAAGGGTTTAAAGCGTTTATAGATTTGAATTTTTTTTTTTTTATCTTTTATATTACTAACGCTTTTAATTTTTTTTTTGCTAAATATAAATAAAGGAATTTGATTTAAAAAAACCCGGATAGGTATAAACAAGTTGAACATGATGATGGTAAATTAGCAGAACTCATGGCCATTAACCTCGATAACAGTCGTAAAATCAGCAACCATTCTCTTCGATATATGGCAATTCAAAGGTTGAAAGATTTGGAAGTTCCAGAGGATGAATATATAGAATTCTCTGAGCACCGTAGCAGAGAAAAAATTTAGATGTATAGTAGCGCAAATGATATTTAAAAACTTAGAAATACATCAATGCTAATCTCTCTAGATCATGATGATATTCCATATGAAAAATTTAATTATTTTTTCACAGATGCCAAGAATTACTTGAATTTTGAAGAGGATGACAATGACGAAGGTATTGGTAAATTTTATTGTTTAATTATTTACATATCTATTTTTGTTATTTTTTAATATTACGATTTTACTACTAGAAGTATCTTCAGAACTACCACCAAATGCACCACTAGAACCACCACCAGAGGCACCGCCTGAATCACTACCTGAATCACAACCTGAATCACTATCTGAAGCACTACTTGAAGCATTGTCTAAACTATTGTCGTGACTATTGTTAAGCCAATCGATGAAACCATCGCAAAGACAATTGCTAAAACCATCATATACGGCAAAATTGTATGCATTATTCAAACCACCTTTCAAAAGATCAAATATTTAACCTGAGATTTCAAAGGCATCTAATCAAAAGCCATCACGTATTCCTTAGCTTTTGTTATTAGGATCTTCTGTACAACCAAGATCACAGTTGGGTGATATTTCGAATTGTATTATGCCTATAACTTATGATAATATTAGAGATAATGAAAGTAAAATGAACAATAGAGAAGTTCATTATTATTTCCACTACCATTTTTAAAAAAAATTGTATTTTTTAAAATATATTTTTTTTAAAAAAAAATTGTAATTTTATTTATTGAAATAAATAATGCATTGTATAGTATATTTGCAATTTTAAAAAAATTAGGCCTTATAAAATACTTACTACAAGGTTATTTTCACCAGTCTAAATGAAAACATAATTTTTATATAGACCAGTGAAAATAATCTAGAAAAAAAAGCATGGGTTGTTATATAGTATCTATGGAATAAGTGAGTGATATTACATTAGGTCTATATCTGCTTTAGGTTGATAGTACTGTTTTCAGTTATTTTAATGATTCGGGTTTGTAGATTTTGATTGTGTCCAGTTAATAAAATATATACGAATTGTGTTTTGATTTCGTGTAAATCAGTTATGATATTGTGTGGAATATTATGTTATTGAAGGTTACTCAATCTATATATTATTGCAAAATATTATTAATCATTTTAGTAGTATTTTCTTGGAAATTGAGATGCTGTCTATTAAGATGCTGATTGATAGGATCTCTATATTCTGTGAGATTCTCCAAGTTCCTGGCTTTGTATATAGCCTGTTGCATTTCTTTAACTTTTTGTAGGGTAGTACTGAGGAAGTCTGGAAGTATATGGGTCTCATTAAATTCTTAAATTTCTATTTCTGTCAGCTATTATACTTTTGTTCTTAGTTTGTTTAAAGTAAATATAATACTAGAGATCGAGGTAGGAGGAGTCATAGTAACTATTGTTCTCTTTATTTTGTTAACCACCTTCAAGGCATGGTGAAGTTGTGTGATTGTGAAGATAAATGCATGATAAGTTTTTGATGATAATCATGAACTTGGGATATACTTATTTGCTGCTTCTTTAATACACATATTCTACTTGTATTACATTTTATTTAATATTTGTTCACAGGTTATTGTAGCAGAATTTAAGTTTATTTCATCTAATCTGTTTTTTATATATATAGCAAATTTGTTACAGTCTTTATTGGACATCTTATAATATTAAATATCTTTCTGTTACTTTTTTTTATATAGGGAGGGTGAAAGGTATTTTAAATAAACTATTTTGTATATATTATTGAGTGGTTACTATCAGTTATTTCGCAAGATGGTATAATTAGAGATGACTCAAATTGTTGTTTTAAGTCTCTGCTAATCCAGATATTATCTATTTGAAAATATTGATCTTGCCTAGTCTATATAGGTGTATCAATATTATAGTACTCTAGCATGTTAATAAGGTAAAAGTTTTGCATGTAATGTAATATAGGTGTAGATTTTTTGCTTTTTGGGTTATATAAATTGCTATTAAAGTTTTCTAAAATAATAGATTTATAGTCTTTGTTTATGCTTGTTTGATCTAGCTAAGTACTATGTCTGTAAATGTTTAGATAAGGAAGGATTATTAGATGAGTGATAAACAAAAATCAGTTTAACCCGATTATAGTATGAGAGAAATAAGTCAATTAAAATTGCCATGCCAGGCACTGTCAAAATATTATGGATATAAGGTTGTAAAAAAGAGGATAAGGCAATTGCTATGCCTATACTTGATTCTCTGATTTTTGCTAATTTAATATTGTAGTTTAGAAGTATATATCTTGTATAGAGGATTGGCCAGATTTAAGTCTGTGTATTGAGAGGCAGCTAGTTTTGTTTCTGTTATTGATATAATATTTATGTTCATGCTTAAGCAGTATTCTAGCTATAGTTTTAATTTTAGATTAATGTTCATACTATAGATTTTGTGGGTAGTGATTAGAAGATGGGAAATATTGTTTCTAGAAGTAGTTTGAGTTGGATTTGTGGTTCTATTATTTGTTGTTTCCTTTGTAGCTGTACTTATTGATAGCTTTATTTAGGATAAAATATCTCAGGTTACTTCTGGAAGTGGTGGTAAGTTGAAGATGAATTGTAGAGCTTTGGTAAATGAAAAGACTTTGTGCAAATTCTGTAATGTAGATCTAATATCCTTTTGTCTTTTGATAGGTAATTCAATTTAGTCTTCTGATATATCCTTTTCTTTGAGATATCTTTAAGCTTCTTTCAGTGAATCTGGTATATTGACTTTAATCTGACTTTGTTTTTTATTATTTCTGTAGTAGTTGGCATCTGTTCATTTTGAATTTTGATTCATGTGCTTGGAATTTTGTAAAAGAAGTAGTGGGGTTATAACATTCTTGCTGTATTAATAAGCTGTCTTGTTGAGATGATAAAAATAATTAGATTGAAGTTTTTGATTTGTCAAGAGTCTCATAATAGGTCTAGTTTAGTTGTGGAGTTTGCTTTCATTATATTAGAGGGTAATAGTAGTGAAATTTGTATTGTGTTGAAATTTGTTTAATAAATTCTTTTGCTGTGTTTGTTTCTGTTATTGGAAATATAAACTTTGAGTATGTTTTAATTTTGTTTGTATCAACAGGTAGTCTGGCTTTTTGTACAAAATAGTTATTAGAGATATATTTAAAGTGATAAAACTCCTATAGCATATTGCTGATTTCTTTGATTGTTCTGGTTGTCCATTGGGAAAAGTAATTGTAGCTTTGGTATGAGTTCTTGTGGTATAGTAGATAGTGGCTGTTTTTTTCTGAAAGCTTAAAGTAGAAGTCTGGTAATTGTCCTTTCTATATATAATAT